CAGAGGGTTTTGATAGGTCTCCGAATGAGTATTAATAGAAACCACCATGCCCTAAGTTTTGTAATTAGCACCTTCATTCAGCAGGTACTCTTGATAAGCACAGACTCGAGGTTCTCAACTTTTTGTCTCAACTTGGGTTCGTAAGGAGCACTTCGGAGTTGTATTCAAAAGAAATTTTTTTAAAATTAGAGTGTCAACATTTGCAAACAATTAATTTTTTTTAAAAGAAGAACTTAATTTGTATGCCTCACACTCCCACATACAAAGGTGCTGCTGAGTGGGAGATAAAGAGACAGAGATGCAATCAGAGCAGCGCAAATTGTGGGTTACACCAGTCAGGCCATACCGTGGCAGGACCTTCTGCTGCCTCTCATGTCAGCTGTGTTAAATCCCGCTTAGATCATGATGAAATAATTCAACTGATGAGTGTCTTTGAAAAAAATAACAACATCCAGTTAGTCGCTGGAAATTTCCTCGAGCACCTGTGATAAGTGCTGACCAGCATATAACAAGAAACAAGATCAAGCTGCAGTGGCGTCTCTGGCGAGACAGACACAGAACAAACGATTTCAAGGGCAGTAAGAGTTAAGAACAGTGCAGGAAAGGTGCTTTGGGGGTACAGTGGGTAAGCTCAATCACGTGTGCGGGTCAGAGAGGGTTCTCTCAGGCTGTGATGAATAAGCCGAGATCCAAAAGGGAGGGGTGCAAGATGGAAATGGAACTGAAGAGGCAGCCACACAGAGGGAATATGGTTCTGGCATGACGGAGGGGTAGATTCAAGAAATAAAAAAAGATCAGCAGCTCCTAAGCTCCACACACAAGTACACTCAGCAAAACCAGAGCGGGGCCTACTTCTCCAGTTTTATCAGGTGAACTCCAAGTGTTAATTCCAGGAGCCCTTGTCAAGCAGCCCCGTGATCTGGTAAAAGAAGGCCTCTAAAGAAGGGTTCTAAGAAGAACAGTTCTAAGACAGTACCAGAACCACTTCTTAAAACCACCACTCCAGGAGAGGCCACCCCAGTGGCTTGGTGGTAAGGAGCTGTGCTGCAAACCCAAAGGCATGCAGTTCAAATCCACCAGCTGCTACTCGGAAGAAAGATGAGAAGTCCCTTCCACGTGATTTATAGTCTTTGACAACCCACCAGAGGGAATATATTTGACTCAAGGGTTCATAACAACACTCTAGGAGGAAAGCAATAGGAAAAGACAGATTTACCTACTGTAGATGCACAGAGTTCTCAGAGAGGCTTAAGGAACTTACAGGGATTTCCTGGAGGGTCCAAGGTAGAGGGAAACCCAGGCTCCTGGTATACTTTTAATTCTTTGCTGATCCTGTATAGGTATTTTGAGTGGGGCACTTGGTGTTGGGGAATGGAAAGTTGGATTGCATGATTACCCTATTATACAGAAAATGAACAACAGGAATAGGCATAAAGAATGAGTGTAAGTTTTAAAAAGAAGAGATATAAAAAGCATTAATAACATCAGTAAATGAAAGTAACGTAAAATGGCACTCTACAATTTCATTTATAAGCACAGGAAATAGGATGAGAAATGACACGCTAATCCTAATACTGGGACATGAGAGGACTGAAATGACAATTTTGTTTTCTTTTCTGAAAATGTTATTTGTGTGTGTGTGTGTGTGTACGTGCATGCACCATCAAATCAGATCTGACTAGTACAGGAGAAGATTATCCTTCCTTCTCCAGTAGAGCATCTGGTGGATTTGAACCACGTACCTCTGGGATTGCAGTGCACCTTCTTGCCACGACGCCACCAGAGCCCCCTAAAAAAATGTTAAAACTTTTATAATTAGAACTAACAGGGTTTTGAATAGCCAACCACAAAAATTGAGATACTTGGAAGAGACTCTAACAGAGATACAAAAGGCCTACAGAAAGAAAACTTCAGAACATTTCAGTGAGACACAATAAAAGACTTAAAGAAATGGGAAAATATGCCCTGTTCATGGATAGACTCATTATTGTGAAAATGACAATCCTACCAAAAGCAATCTACATATTCAATGCAATCCCTATACAGATATTAAATTCCTTTTTTAAGGAGATAAAAAGGAAATTATGGAGTTTATTTGGAGGAAAGACCCTGAATAGGCACAGCACTTCTGAAAAACAAAAATGAAATGGGAGGCATAGCACTCCCTGACCTCAAAACCTACTACACACTGATAGAAACCAAAACAGCATGGTACTGGTACAATGACAGGCACACAGACCAATGAAACAAAATTGAGAACCCAGAAATGGACCCATCTATCTATGGTCAACTGATATTCAACAAGGAAATAAAACCTATCAAATTTGAAAATGACAAGCTCTTCAACATATGATGCTGGAAAAGCTGAACTGCTACCTGCAGAAAGCTGAAACAGGATCCATATCTCACACCACACACTAAAATCAACTCAAGGTGGATCAGAGGCCAGGGAGTAAAGCCCAAAACCATAAAATTAACCAGAGACAACTGGGATCAAGCATAGATGGCCTAGTCTATGGTATAAAGAGACTGCCAAATACAGCCAGAAATGCACACTCTGAAGAGGATAAAACTGATGCATGGGACCTTCTAAAGATGAAATCCTTGTGTGCATAAAAAGCTTTTTCCCAACGGAGTAAAGAGAAAACCTACTGACTGGAAAAAAACATTTGGCAATACCATTTCAGGCAAGGGTTTCATATCAAAAGTTTACAGAATACTCCTGGGCCTCCACAAGGAAAAGACTGATAACACAATTATAAAATGGGCAAAAGACATGAAAGACTTTTCACAGAGGAAGATATTCAAATGTCCAACAGATACATGAAGAAATGCTCAAAATCACTGGCAATGATAGAGATGCAAATCAAAATTATAATGAAATACCATCTTACCTTAGTAGCAGTGGCAAAGTTTAACAGGACTGCAAGTAATAAATATTGGAGAGGATGTGGAGCGATAGAAACTCTTGTACATTTTTGGTGGTATTGTACATTGCAACCACTCTGGAAGGCAGTTTGACATTTCCTCAAAAACCTGAACGTAGAAATTCTATATGACCCAGCTATTCCCCTGCCTGGGATATACCCCAAGAAAATGAGAACTGAGACACAAACGGAGACTTATACATCAGCATTAATAGAAGTGTTCTTCAGCATCGCAAGAACATGGAAACAGCACACATACCACAATTGAATGGGTTGAGAAATTAGGGCACATTCACACAATGGAATACCACAGAACATGCAGGAGCAATGATTTTCTAAAACACTGCCTAATTTGAGAGGGATTGGAGAGCATTATACTAAGTGGATTAACTCGGTCCCATAAGGACAAATACGCATAGGACCATTTTTATGGAAATAGAAAGATAGCTAGTAAAATGTGTATCAGAATCCAAGGGGGAAGAGGGGTGAGGGTGGGTGAGGGAGTCGGGGAAATGAGAAAGATCTGGTGTGAAAAACAGTGTGTACAAACTTTGTAAATAAGTCAGCATAAAAATGTTGTTGTTGTTGTTGTTGTTGTGTACCATAGAGTTAAAAAACGGCTCATAACTGACTCTCTGGCGGGTTTTTAGAGGCGATTAATCGCATGGGAGGAGATTGTCCATCCTTCTCACATGGAGCAACCAGTGTCCTCAAACCATGTGTCTTTGGGATTGCAGCACAGCTTCTTGCCACTAAGCCACCAGAGCTCAAAAATCTTTTTTTGGAAAAAAAAACAACAAAACCTTGGATTTTTATGAACTGCAAAAATGAAGTTGATGTCATAAAGAGTTTACTGCCTTCTTTATTGCCCTGAGACCAGGCAATCATAAAGGAACAGTCATAAAGAAGGACTTTAGCTGTGTGTTTCCTCCTCAGATGATAAGACTGGTTTCCTATTCCCAGCCACTGCTGTTGAGTCAATTTTGACTCAGAGCAACTCTGTACAGCAAAGAGGGACTGCCTGTAGGGTTTTCAAGGCTATAATCTTTATGGAGGTTGAGATTATTATCCATTTCAGCTTGCTTGTGTCCACAATCAACACTCTTGGCACCAGCAGTCAGGAAGTCAAAAGATTAACTGCATTAGGAAAATCTACTGTTAGGGACCTCTCCAGAGTCCTGAAGAGGACACAGATGGGCTTTCAGTCCAGAGACTAAAGTGCACCTTATCCAGGCCATCGTTTTCTCAGTTGCTTGCTATATACATCCGAGAGCTGGGCAATGACCAAGGATGACAGAAAAAAAATTGAGTTTGTGATTTGAGCCTTTGAGTTGTGATGCTGGAGAAGAGTATTGAATATACACTGGACTGCCAAGAAAAAAAACAGGGCTATCCCGGAGAGAGTGAAACCAAGTTGCTCCTTGGAGGCAAGAATTTTGAAACTCTGTCTCACATACTTTGGGCAGGAGGGACCAGTCTTTGGAGAAGAAAATCATGTTTGGAAGGGTGGAGGGATGGCACAGGAAAGGAAGACCCCAGATAAGATGGATTAACACAATAACTGTGATAATAAGACTATGTGTGTCAGAGACAGTGAGATTGACTCAAGATAGAGCAGAGTTTAGAGCTACTACTGTGCATAAGGTCGCTGTGAGTCATAGTAGGCTTGACAGCAGATAACAACAAAAAGTCTTTTTGGAAGCATACTTCTATATCATCCTCTGATCTTTCAGTTAAGTACACAATGGCTAAGTTCTCAGGTGCTAACTGCCACCAACCACTACTCAGGAGAATGATTTTGCAGTCCATTTCCACCAAGATTACAGCCTTGGATACTCTCTGAGGCTCTTCCACTCCTGTCAGGGTCACAAGGAGTCAGAATCAGCTTAACACCACACAGTGACAGATCTCCAAGTGAAGGTCCCAATGACAGACAGGCAGCAGTTACTTTGCTGATACCTTGGCCTCCAGTAACGAAGCCTACAGCCCCGGGTCCCTCCCGTGCACCCTGGGGAGTTGGGAGAACAAACCCCTCAATCTGAAAAGTGTGCTAACATTTTTTTCCTTCCCCAGATGCCATTCTGGATATGTGGGTGCACGCTGCGAACACGCAGACCTCCTGGCCGTGGTGGCCGCTAGCCAGAAGAAGCAGGCCATCACTGCATTGGTGGTAGTCTCCGTTGTGGCCCTGGCTGGCCTCATCATCACATGTGTGCTTATACAGTGAGTACTTGGCCTCTGACACCAGGGTCTTTCCTGCTTATCCCCTCAGAGACGTCTGGAGCATGTCTAGTGGCAGAGCCACCTTGGCACAGCGTGCTGCTGTGATAGCTGATTGGTGTCAGCCAAGTTAAGAGGGACCTTGCCTGCTCTTGGTATGGTTGTGCATCCTAGGAGGGTCCTCCAGCAGTAAGTGTGTGTGCTGCAAGGGTGAGGCCTCTAGATCCCTCTAGATAAGCTGGTTACAGCCTAGCCTCAGGAGGCTTCAACCCACAGTCCATGAGAAAAGCAGACTGGACAGGAAGGCTAAATTCTGTTAGGCAAGTACCTGGAATCCCAATAACCTGCCCAGCTTAGCACTCCAGAGTGTGGCTAAGCAAGAGAGCTGGGCTGGAATCATGAAACATCACCTTCGCTCAGCTGCAAGTTCGTTTCCTCATCTCTGTCTCCCAGTCCATATCTGTCAGGACATCACTCTCAGCCCTAGTCTTTGGCTGCAGAGGTTCCATATACAGTGAGGTTAGAATGGTGGGAACTGTACCATAAGGGAACCAGCCATCACCATCTGGCTGGGTAAAGGGTGTCTTGGCACTTTCACATCTGATATTCTTGAGGCTGCCTGATTCTTTTCTTATCTTAACTCTGTAAACCATTCAGTTCTGCTTACAGAGGGAAGCAAGCCACTTCTAGCAGTGTCTGCAGGACTCCAGCAACACAGACTTGCTGAGAAGCCCACGTGCCCACAGCTAGAGCATGTGGTCCTCAGGGGACTCAAAGTGCAAAGCCAGGGAGAGCATAAGTTCAGGCTTTAACCTCCCTGTGCTCACCCCAACCTGAGTTCCCAGCTTTGCTTCAGGCACTATCTGAACCCTCACAGTCAGCCGTCCTACAGGCTGCTGCACTGTCCCAGTCTTGACAGGAGTTTGGAGCCATTATCACTACATTCTTGGAGTTGTCCAACTGGTTCTTCATGGAGGAAGCAGCCAGATCACTGACTAGCCCAGGTCAGAGCTGCAGAAATTCAGTTGGCACTTTCGGGCAGCCAGCAGGTGTTTTGTTGTTGACTGTGCAGCTCTGGTGGCCTAGTCCAGAAGGTGTTGCATTACAAATCAAAAAGCTCTGTGGCTCTAGCAATTCAAGTTCAGCAAACACTTCTCAGAGGATCAGGTATCTCCTATAGTGAAGATTTATGGTCTTGGAAACGTGATGGAGGGTCACTATGAGTTCTAACTCGTTGACCCACAAGACAGTGATTTTGATGTTTTCAAAGGTGTGCCACCTCAGCTCAGCCCCCTCCCGTGCACTCACAGGAAAGCCCCTGCAAGAAAGCTGGCGCGGAGCCCAGAGCTCACCAGCAGGCTCCGCAGGTAAACGTGCACCTGCCAGGGCCTCTTGCCAGACTCCGCTCTGCTTCTTCACAGCTGCTGCCAGGTCCGGAAGCACTGCAAGTGGTGCCGCACCCTCGTCTGCCGGCACGAGAAGCCCAGTGCCCTCCTGAAGGGAAGGACCACCTGCTGCCACTCGGAAACAGGTACAGGGGTGCTGGGGCCCGGGGACTATATGCTCTCTGGATGCACTTCTGGGTAAACAAGATGCGTACTTTCTATAGGTCAGGGAGTGAGGAGACAAGAAAAGGCGTTTTAGTCTCATTAGTCAGGTTTAGTTTATTTGAAAAAAAAGGTGTGTTTTACTTAGCAGACAGCTCTTTTGTCCTGATGACTGGGTAACTTTTGACATTTAACTTAACTTCTGTGGGTCTGAGTTTCCATGCTCTTCAAAAGACCCCTATATAAGTTGAATAAGTGTGTCTGATTCAGGCTGTGATCTTTTCAATCACTTCCTATGTATCTGAGACGTAAGTAAGTAATGAAAGAAGAAGCATCAACACCTCTAAGTTGTGGTGTTGGAGAAGATTACTGAGTGTCCCATGCACATGAAAAGGACAGGTAGGTGTGTCTTGCAGAAAGTGCAGCCAGGGTACTCCTTGGAGGAAAGGAAGGCAAAGCTTCGTCCCACATACTTTGGGCATGCTGTTAGAAGAGGCTGTTCCTTAAAAAGGAGCATCATGCTCAAAAGGGTGGCGAGTCAGCAAAAGAGAAGACCTTCCATGAGATGAATTTACACAGTGACTGTAGGAACAGGCTCAAGTGTGTCAGTGATGATGAAGATGGCACGGAATGGGACAGGATTCAGTGCCGTTGTTCATGGGGTTGCTGTGAGTCACACTGGACTCGATGGCATCTAAATACAAGTGTAGCATGTGATGAATTGCATCACACAACATATGTTCATCTTTGTTTTTCCTTTCCTTGAGAAAGTCTTTTCCCTTTCTCTTAATGAAGGGTTTGGACTGTAGAGATCTCTAAGGACCCTTCAAACTTTTAGATCCTAGCATCTTCATAAAGTGTCCCATTTTTTATGTGAATCCTTTCACTAATATCCATTAAGGAGATGAGAAACCAAACTCACACAGCAAGAGCCCTCATCCGAGAATCACTGACACGTAGCGAGGACACATAGCTCCTTTATCTTGATAAACCCTAAACTTCTCACTGATATCAGCAAGCCTCTCTGCTATGCAGTCCATCACAGACTTCATATTCCTTTTAAGGAAGGAGTGGGCCAGGTGACAATTATAAGAGGCTGGTTGGTGGTCTGCACCAGGATATTCTTCCCTAGTAAACAGTTGACACCCAGAAGCTCATGGCTACATGACTGGTATAGGCTGGACCCCTTAGAAATGCATTAAGCCACGTGGTAACCCAGTGTGGAAGGAGCTAAAGGCACCATTTACCTGTTTTTTCATTCAGCTGTGCGTCATCATCGTAACATGCACAGGCCTGTTGAACCAAGAGCCCACAGTTCTCGAGGACTGTAATCCACTAATTTTTGTAATGGATTGAGACAATGGTTTGTGAGTGATGAGTCCATCAAAAGGAAACTGAGTCCATCAAAGGCCTACCTGAGTTGTGCGATGGGTCAGGGAATGAAGATGGAACCAGACCTCTGAAGGCCCCACTTGTGTCTCTTCCCCTAGCTGGGACAAGGGAGGAGAGGCAATGAACTCACAAAGTATTTCTCCATTATGTTTCAGTGTCAGTAGATTTACTTACATTTTTAAAGAAAATTTGTAATGGGCTTTGTAGCATCTTTCGGGGGAACTGGCCTTTCCGAGATGACTCCATCCCTGAGAGGGTGAGTTCTTCCATGACCTCAAAGCACCAAGCAGACTTGCTGGAGCCAAGGGTGGGTGAACCACGTGCTCGCATGAAAGCCTTATTGGAGCAGCCAAGCTCTGCTGCGCCTGAGCGAGGGCTCTTCCCCACCAAGGACCCTTCCCCGCCATCCTCTTCTTAGGGCAGAGCAGTTGGAGAACCAGGGAAGGAAGTCTCCAGACTGAACTGGATTCAGGAATTGTGGAACTGACTGCCCTAACAGCCAACCAGGGTACCCCTGGGACCTCACTCAGTGTAATGGAAGTGAGTCCTTTCTCAAGGCCTCAGGGGAAGTGCTTCTGCTGCCAGAATCCTGCACCAGCTCATGACCTAATCCCTAAGCCACACTTTGCAGGCGAGTAGGCCATAGACTGGTGGTGGTGGTGGTTGTGTACCGTAGAGCTGAAACGGACCCATAGCTGACCCTCCAGTGGGCTTTCAGAGGCAGCTAATCGCACGGGACGAGTTTGTCCATCCTTCTCCAGTGGAGCATCTGTTGGCCTCAAGCCATGTGCCTTCAGGATTGCAGCACAGCTTCTTGCCACTGTTGTTGTTGTTGTTGTTATGTGCCGTCGAGTCATCTGCAACTCATAGTGACCCTATGTACAACAGCCCTAAACCCTGCTCTATCCTGTGCCAATCGCATTGCCTCTGACACACCCATCCCGATTACCCCAGTTACTGAATCAATCCACCTCATAGAGGGTCTTCCCCTCTTGCGCTGTCCCTCTAACCTACCAAGCATGATGTCCCTCTCCAAGGACCTGTTTCTCCTTACAACACGTTCAAACTATGTCAGACAAAGCCCCAGAATCCTTGCCTCCAAGGAGTAGCCTGGTTTAACCCTCTCTAGGTTGGATCTGTTTGTTTTCTTGGCAGTCCATGGAACATTCAATACTCTTCTCCAGCACCACAGATCAAAGGCGTCAACTCTCCTAGGCGACTTGAATTAAGGCCCTCACCACGGTGTGTGTCTTATCCTCTTCTACCACAGCTCACTTTACTTCAGTAAATTTAATCCGTTTCTGAATTCTTTGGAATGTGAAAGCACAGTTTCCAAAGCTGCTCCTCTGAGATTCAACCAGCAGAATCTGGCTTTAGCCTCGCCTCCAAAAGTGCCTGGTGATATTGTCTGAAGCCGTCTCCAAGCTTCTGTCCCATTTCTTTTCCCAGTGAGGCTGGGGTTTGGCCCACCATAATTAACCTGTTTTTCCTTTTCCCCAGTGGTCTGAGGAACCCAGAAGAAGAGTTCAGCCAGGTGGACTGTGGCCACTGGAGAAGACAGGACTTCCTCAGGACAGCCTTGTGAGGGATGCCTGGGACAGGCCAGCAAATCTGTTCTTGGCCTGAAATCGCCTGTGCAGCCTTTTGTCTTTTGGGGCCTTCAGAACTCTCCAGAACTCTTGTCTGCTTGGGGTCATTTGGTGTGACCTAGAAAAGAAATCGTGGACCATGGTGTAAAAACTTGTCAAAAAAGAACTGCAGAGGGGCAGACATCCTGTTTACGTCGAGAGGGGGAGGTGTCATTTCTGCCATTCATTCAGTTGTGTGTAGTGGTCTCTGCTGGCCATGGATCGTGGGCCGTACTGTCTGCTCGTGACAGCATCACACCCAACGCCAAAGAGCCCTACACTTACTACAGGTGTTTCTCATCAGCTCCTCGGAGGACGGTGGAGAAGGGGTCTCAGCTCGGTCACATGAAGATGCCAAGGTTGAGAGGATCTGGGTTCTCTGTCATCTAGACCCTCAGCCTCCCCACATCCTCCACAGACTTGAGGTGCTGACGGTCTTCTCAAGCTGTTGCCACCCTCAGAGATGAGCTTATTTATTAGATGGTTAATGATTCTATTTTTTATCTCTTAAGCCAGTGTAATAAGCATAAAACTCCTTCAGACTTCTATGTTAATGATGTATTGAAGTTATACTGGGTGAAAATGGCTGGTCTTTTCAGGACAGCTGAGGCTTGGGAAAAGCCACCCAGGGGTACAGAAAGGGGTTCAGAGGGTAAGTTACTAACAGGAACAAAGATTAGGGTTGAGAGGTCATACTTTTAAAGGCATGATAAGCAGGTAAATTACCAGGATATATCTGGGAAGAAAATTAGCAGAAAGAATGTGTCCTACTACGCTGCTCAGTTATCAATCAAATACATTGTGAATTTTCTGGGAGCCTTTCAGTGGCACCGGCTGCTAACTCTAAGAAAGTTGATGACTTGACTTCACCCAGAGGCACCTCAGAAGTAAGGCCTGGGATCTGCTTTTAAAAATCAGGCCACTGAAGCCCCTGTGGAGCCCAGTTGGCTCTGACACCCATGGGAGCTTTTGTGAGCTGGAATCAGCTCAACAGAAACTGGAGACAATACGCTTAGAAGCAGGATAATGTCTGAGAGACAGGTGCTTCAGGTGGAATCCATCAAACCCAGTCCTTTCTGTAACGTTTTGTTGCTTGACAGGTTGACTGCTTTGTCTTTTAAAATGAGAAGTAGAACTTTCCTGTTTCATTTTTAAGCATTGGGGGAAATATTCTAGTGATTTTTTTTTTAGCCTTCTCCATTAAGAATGCAAATTTTGTTAACAATCTCTGACAAGCCTCTCTGCAAGGTAGATCCCAGAAGAGAAAGATTTACTCCTGAGCATGGCATATTCTTTGACCCACTGGGCCTCGAGTGGCCCTCGGACCTGCATGCTTAAAGCAGCTGCTTCCTCTAAACAGTGAACATAAGCATAAAACTTGGAAATTTTTATGCTTTCCCAGGAATCCCTAGGAACTGTTCAGGCCTTTAGACTGATTCATTCCTGTTTGTACTCCTAGTCGAGAATTTGACTTTCTATTCCAGACATACTAAATCAGAATCTGCAGCTTAACAGGATTGGAACAGGATGGTTGTTATACCTGGAGATCTGCTTAAAATGTTGACTTTCATTCTGTGTGTCTGAGGTGGGAGGGTGCATATTCTCAGCAAGAAGTCAAACTGGAGTGAACTCAGTTCAAAACCACAGAATTTTCATTAAAATTTGAAAGCTGACTAACAATAAAATAATACATCAATTTCTGGTTATGTGAGGATCCTCTTTAACTGCTAGTATTTGAAAAGTGAAATATTCCTACTTATTAACCCTTCAGTGCCTCTTACTCTTCCCATCATGAAAAAGATTTTTTAAATATGTCAAGTTGGCTTGAAACCTCGGTCAGAAAATGCTGTTTTCTCTCTAATTCCTCTCCCCGAGTCTATTTCTATGAACTTTTGTGCTTTAGAGTTAAGACAATTATGTCTTGCAGACAGTTATGTTAAAAGAGTTAACAGTTAACATGCACTTAAGACAGTTAAGTGATGCATGTCTTCACTTGGACATTGTCATTGAACAGTGAATGCTGTCCTTGACTTAGATCGAATTGTGTCACTGTACCAGCCAGTCGTCTAACAATCTAGCATAACTCCCAGGTTTTAATTATGAAAGTTTGCATTCCTTACGTGGATCCCAGGGTAGCAGCTCCTCGTGGGCCATCCTGCTTTTGCACCCAGCTGTCCTATCAGACTGTCTTGAGAATGTTAGATGCTGAATGAGAAAAAAGGAGCTCGTATTTAACTTGAACTCACATTTTTACTTGAGGAAAATGTTAGTGTGTTAGAGACTCTTTGAGTCCTAATTGTCTTTTAAAAACATGAGGTAATGTGACAATATTTTGTGGGAGTGGGCTCTTATCTGATGGATTCAGCTTGAAAGAGAATCATGAATTGGCATCCAAAAGCTTTTGCCAAGAAGTAGGAAAGTTGTTGAAGGACAGATGAGGGAAGCAGAAAGGGCCTTCTCAGTTCCCTGTGGGCACCTCATACTGAGTCTCTGTGAGGGCTCTGGTCCTCGCGCCCAGCGTCACAGCTGCAGTACCTCCCTTCTTGTGCCTGCACACCCATAGTCAAATGGGTGCCTTCCAAGAAGTGCCTCCCAAGTCAGTTCTTTGTGAACCAGTGGGTGTAAAAAGGACTGGAAGCAATGCCTGGGGCTGAAGCAGCCCTCATGCACCTCCACCCATACCTCAGCATATGAGCCTTGCTTCTTTGGTAATTTTCTCTTTTCAAATCTAATGGCCAACTGACATTGGATTCTTGTGCCAATTCATGGCAGTGCACTTCTTTGTTGAGCTCTAAAAATGCTCCCATTTTTGGATAAAGGATGCATTGCTGGTCTGTCCCTGCAGACTTCTCATGTTTCCTTGCCCTTTTGCAAGCTCAATGTTCTTCATGATTAGAGACTCTTACTGGAGACCTGCCCCAGTCAGCAGCCACACACAGCATAGTGTGTGTGTCTCAGGAGACGATAGAAAGCCACCATGGGGTGATAAAAGTCTCCAGGTATCTTGTAGAGCCTGGATGATCCCCCTGCTCTGCAGTCTCTGACTTCTTTAAACATGCAGCCAGGAAACCTTTCCTTCAAGACTGAAAGATCTACAGCAGCCAATCCAATCAAGCCCACAGTGGATACTTGTGCATTCAAGCAAGGGATGAGTTTACAGTTGTGTCCCAGCAGAGAAGGTGGGCTCAGCGGCTCCAGGATCCTTTATTCTAAGAAAGAAAAGGAGATAAGAGTGACATAGATCGAATCTTTCACACTGGTGAGAAAGGAAATTCTATGGTTCCAGTGCTTCTTAGGAGATTATTCCCTACGGGTGAAGAAAACTGCCAGCATATTCAAACAGGGTTATCCAGGGTCTTGTATCCATGTGCCAGAGGTTGCTTTTCCAGGTAGTTTTGGCAGGAATGACTAGGCTCAAACACTGCTCAGGAGACTCCAAGCCCTTAGTGGGATCTAGGTCCTGGTCTTCCCGACCTGCCCAGCCAGGAAAGGAGTGATGGTACTATCAAAACCCAGGGGACCAAGGAGACCAAACAAGACAGAAACTCATATTTGGTTTTGATGTTTTAACCTAAAGCCTTGTTCTCCAGCCCTTATTTTACCAGGCTTTCTGAAATACCTAGTGGCACACACACACATACCCCTGAAAAGCTACCCCCTCTTCCTAGTGTAATAATGAAATATTCATCTTGTCATTACCTTTGTTATAACAAACCAGATTCTTTTTTTTAAAAAAAAGAACTTGTTACTCTGAATTCTGTATATGTTGCACTGAGAAGGTAAATATTTAATGTTTTAATTTATTTTGTGTGGTAAATTAATTTTGACTCTTATAATGTGTTGATGTGATTTGCAGGTCTTTTCCTTAATATCTGAATTGTAGTTATTTAAAAAGTAGTGAGCAATATAAAATGCAGTTGTATTTTTCCATAATGTATATTGTTATTCAGTTGTACTGTACCTTGTTTGGAAGGATGAAGGAATGAATTTTTTTTTCCCTCTAACTCAAGACTGAGTCTTTTGTTTTAATGAAATTGGGATATTGCTGAAGCAAATTAAGACTGTTCTTTACAAATGTGTCAACTATGAGAATAAATTGGATGATCTCTTGCAAATTGCAAGAGTCCTAAAATTAGCCATCTTAGTCCCTGTCTACTTGAAGAAATGAAATTCTCTAAAGTTCTTCCCAAAATAGAAGTGTTTCATCTACTGTGTGGTCAGCTCTGTGCTAACTGCTGCAAAGGTAAATATGTAAGACTGCCCCAAAGTACCTGAGTTCAGGTTGGGAAATCAAATTAACTTTCAGAAAATAATTATCAACTCTGTGGATGTGTGGACAAGATACGAATAAAGCTATAACACTGATTTGCCCCAAAACCAGTAACATCAGTATGATCTGAAACTTGTTAGACCACCTAAGATCTACTAAACTCTGGGAGTCGAAGCCTACAGTCTGCCTTTTCATAAGCCCCCACGAAATCCTGATACACGGACAAGTCGAAGGAACCACTGCCGGTCTGTGGACTCATTGAGGAAATGATTTCCTATGAAGCTTGAATTTTTCGGCAAAGTTTTGTGGCATCTTTGCAGAGGAAGTGCAACTTTACCCTTTATGGTTTAGATTTTATAGCTGTTAATACCTATGACCTCTGATGGTAGGGCCAACATTTATTTGGCTGATCTTTGCTTAAGTTTGCTGCTGTTGTTGTTAGGTGCCATTGAGCCAACCACAAACCATAGCAACTCTGTGAACACCAGATCTGTACCCTGCCCCGTCTGGGACCATCCTCCTCATCTCCAGTATATATGAACTTATTATTGCAGTCACTGTGTCAATCCATCTTGTTGAGGGTCTTCTTCTCTTTTGCTGACCTTCCACTTTACCAAGCTTGTTGTCTTTTTCCAAGGACTGGCCCCTCCTAACAGTATGCCCCAACTATGTTAGTCAAAATTTCAC